TGCGCATCCCTTTATTTAGCCCAATGCGCTTATGGAGTGCAAGTGCGCCTATATCCGTTATTTGAATACAAGCGCACCCCCTTTTTCTGAAACGTATTTCCTTTAAGCGCATCTGAGCTATAAGCGCACCCGCATTTCCTATAAGCGCATCCTTCATCAAGTGACACAACGTACAATACTCCACTAGTTAGAAGTTAAAAGTTATGAGACAATAATAATACTATTCCTAAACTAATCCAACCTTAGCTGCGCTAACCTAGACACTCTACACCTACTCATGGGCTGCAACATCATCCGAATCCAGAGTCACCCTCAGGAACAGTCTCGTTGTCCCCCATAAAAGCCATCTGCGGCTATCTCATCATCACACTCCACCTCTGTCTCTTCTGTAGATCTCCTGTGGGTCATGCAGAGGTGATCCTCAGTGCCATCTAGAGCATTGCTGATGCCACACGTCAAGAAGGCCTTTTGGATGAGCTCTTGCAGGGACGGCCTTCCAGGCCTTCGCCACCCACTTGTGAGTCATCTTAGGTGGGGGCTTCTTCAGATTCCCTACACACGTAAACAACCACCAAAGTACCGTAGTTAGGACATTATACAAGAATAAGAAACCTGGACTCTGACACAACCAAAATATGAAGAAACTCACCCTTCACCGTGAGGAGGTTGCAGCCCTCTAGCTGAAAACCACTCTTGGTACTTGCTGCCCATACATTCGCCTTGAACGACCAGTTCACTGAGACATCGAGGGGTTGCACCTCAGATGTGCAGCCTGCAGGGATGACGCCATGGGCAATATTCAGCCTCAGCATACTTGTCCTTGACGTCCTCAGTCAAGTGGCCGCGATACGAATCGAGAATGAGAAGGGCCGAACGCGCGTGCATGCCGAACCGCGGCTGGATGAAGGTTTGGCCGTCTCCTCAAGCCAATCCAGTACGCCATCCGCATCCATCCAACCATTGGGTTGGGCAGCGATTCCTGACTCTGCAGCAGACGGGCAAAAAACAAGAACAAAAAACGGACTTAGTCATGAATAGGAGAGCCATGTGGCAATAGCAACAGGATGGAATGAAAAACCGTGCTTAAAGATAAACAGCGCAATACCTAGTTAGCAGAATCTCCTAAAGCGTCTAACAAAGAACTGACCTGTTTGTCGCTTAAAAGAATGCCCACGGCTTTTAACTTCTCGCCAGTTGCCGTGCAGGCCAACATGACGGTTACCCTTTCTTTTTTTGGGTAACCAGCGCTGCGGATTGTCCCCGAATTCGTGCCGATTTCGTCCCACCGTGTGATCCGCCAGCATCTCCAGCCACAGTGGTGTTTGGTCGGCGTTGATGATCCACCGAAGGTCGATGCTGTAGTGCCAACGCGAGTCTCTGAAAAAGCGCCAGAATTTCAGCACCTTCTCCTCGTTCTCTGTTGTAAGGGACAGGAGAAAGGAAGAGAAATCCAGATAAGAAGCCAATAATTTGCATGGAAAACTGCACCATGGTAAAAGGCAGTGAATGGAATACGACGGAATAGGGACAAAAGCAACTGTCACTTACGCTCGGAGAGTCTCTGACCGACTTTGGTTTTTGCTTGAACGGAGAGGTTCCACCGACGGCGGAAACTCTCTGTCCAACTGTAGGAGCCCTTCGAGGGAGACGTCGGGTGGAGCTGATGCATCAGATCCCGCGACCATGTTTGAAGTCGGCAGACGAGAACAGCGTATCCCTTGGCGCGCTCAGAAAAGAAACCCGGGAGTAGACTTCAAGCTCCATGTCTTTGTACCAGGAGCTCCAGCCGTGCCCGTGAAGCCATTTCCGACATGGTGCGGCTTCTTTCAGCACTGGCTCTCTCGTCACCCATGTTGCGAGCTGTTTTCGCGAGATTCCTGACTCCCTCGACACTTCGTTGACGCAATTGACTGCTCCGAGGCGCGTTATCCAGTGCAGCTTCTCCTTGGCTGTGTAGAAATGTCGTTGTCGGTGGGTCTGGCGATTCCGAGGAGAGGGAGGGTGCTTATCGCGACTCTGAGAAGAAGGATGGGGCTTCTTCTTCTTAGCGGGCGGGAATGTAGGGATCAGCAGCACCTCGGGGAGTCCATCACGTGCCCAGAACTCAGCTTCCCCCACTTCGGTGTTGCCAGGTACGTCCCAGTCATCAGGGCTGGTGTCTTCAGCCCTTCCCCAGCGGTGAGGCAAGGCTCCGGAATCCTCGTTGACAGCGGCATGGGTGTCGTCAGCGGACTCAGTGTCGTGCGTGCTGTCAGCGCCATCAGCGGGGTTTTCGCCATCAGCGTTGGCGGAAGCGTGCGTGTCGTCAGCGTCGTCAGCGGCGCGCGTGTCGTCGGCGAACTCGGCAGCGGCGCCCTTGCCATCGCCGTAGTCGGCGCCGTTCTGGTCGTCGGCGAAGTTTGCAGCGTCCGTGCAGTTTGTTTTGTCTACTGCGTGAGCGTCGTGAGCAATGCCAGCGGCTTGCTCGTCGTCAGGCACGTTGGGCTGCTCGTCAGAATCCGCTATCTGACTATTGGTTGGCGGGATTAAAGGAGTGAGAATCGGTGTGCCGTTTATTTTCTTGCGGGGAGAAAGGCTTGTGACTGCGTGGAGGAATAGGCAATGCGGGAGCCGACCAAGGGGCAGGGGGGGAAGGTGAGGTATTGACGCATGACAGGCCTGTCCGTCTAAGGCGGGTAGGCTCATCAGGTCTACCAAAAAGCACAGCCATGGCCGACAGAGGCAGGCCAGCCATGGCTCTCCTAGCTAAGGTGGGGCTCAGAAGCGTGATTGCTCGCTGAAATAATGAACAATATGAGGGGTGAGCCAGAGCCCCTCTTGGTTGGCGTCTCGTTTTCCTCTACGAGTAAAGCTGCCAGCAGTTGAAATAGGCTCGTAGAGGACAGGTGGCAAGGGAATCCTTGCCACTCTGTCCTCCTACTGGGTGTGCTCGCTTTCTGGAAAGGTCGATGCCTTGCCAGATTCATTGCATCTCACCCAAATCTTGCCTGTCTGGAGCGGATATGCATGTGCCAGCACCCTTACGACCGCAGCCATGGTGTTGCTGGCACAGCAAACCGCCGTTCTCACCTCGTTTTGGACTGCTAGGCAACTTTGCAGTAGCAGCGCTGGCAGAATATTTGAGACACGATTTCTCCCGATTTATCAACACGACCCCCATTTGTGAGTGGTCCGAAAAATCACACTTTTCAAGAGCTACATTTTCATGCATTCAAATATTTTTACCATAAAAAAACTTATCATAAGCTTTGCGCTTATAAATTTTATTCGATTAAAGGCGCATGCTGGTTTTCTTATAGGTATCCCCTATACGCCCCTATGCGCCTATGTCCGGGGGATTACGGTATCGGGTGGTGATTTTGTCGAAGGACCAATCAAAATCCTCATGCAACCTACAGAGATCCATTTCAGATCCTTCGAGAAATTTCGCGAAGTCTGCAATACCAGAAGGACGCGTACACCCATTCTGAAATACCAGAAGGATACAAAATCACTTTCTAGGGCATCAGAAATTCAATAATTGGGTTTCTAAAAAATCAGATGAACGCCTAAAAAAGAGTCTGAAAATCAGACAAACACACGGATTTTGTCTAATGTCGAGGACCCTGCTCTGCCAAGATTGGAAGGCGGGCCTTCGAAGGGAGCCCCCACCAGAGCTCCTTGCACAGGCACTGGTTAGTCGTGGCGCTTGCGTCGCAGGAAGCGGAAAGAAGTAGAGGCAGCAACGGGGCAGAGCAGGAAGAGCCAGTCCAGTACACTGCGCTGCGCGCTGACTTGGTGTCAACTAGAAAGTCCCAGGCTGAGAGGTATTTGGGGTCGCGGTCGTGGTCGCGGTCATGGCCTTTCACGGGTGGAGCCTTGAGGTACTAGTTACAGGGCCGTTTCAAATAGTTAAGCGGAGGTACTCCTCAGGCGTGGCGGTTGTGACGGAGAAAACGGAGAGCCGCAAAGGCAGCGACGCGGCACACGAGGCAGAAGCAGAGCAGGAAGAGCCAGTCCCAGTACACTGCAGAGCGCGCGGACTTGGTGGCAACGAGAAAATCCCAGAGGTACTCGGGGCCCTTGACAGGGTTGAGGTACCACTTGCAGGGGCAGCTGGCGCAGATAGCGGCGGCGCTGGGGCAGCCTGGGAGGGAGCACTCTGGTGCTGCTGTGTTGCAGTAGTATGCCGCTGCTGTTAGCCCATTGAGGGCGTACTGGAGAGAGGGAAGGGGGGTAGAGGGAGAGAGTGAAAATGAGAGTGAGTGGGATGGCATGGAGGGTGCACTCTGGTGCTGCAGTATTGCAGTTATGGGCTGCTGCTGTGAGGTTGTCGAGGGCGTACTGGATTCGGGGGTGGGAATGGGAGGAGAGGAGAAGGCTGAAAAAGAGGGGCAGAAGGGAAAGGGTGAAAAGTCAATGGGCCGGGACTGTGTGGGAGGGTGCAGTCTGGTGCTGCGGTGTTGCAGTAGCAGGCTGCGCCTGCGGCTCTGAGGCCATCTTTGGATGGATTTGAGTTGAGAGAGGGAAGAGGGAGAGAAAGGGGAGGTGGAGGAAAAGAGGAAGGGGCGAGAAAGTGGGAGCGGATGGGGACAGAGGGAATGATTGAGGAGTCAGAAGAGGGCTTGGTTGGGAAGGATGGGCCGTGGGAGGAGAAGACCAGCAATAGCGACAAGAAATGGTGACGAACAGGGCTGGGGTGTCAGGAGATCAACGCCACTGCTTGAGTTGACTCAGCTATCCAAAGAATTTACTAAACTGACTCAAATAAACCGGCACGTTTTACCTTAAGATGCTTAGAAAATTGATCGGTTTGATGCTATACGGAGTAGTTACTGCGCATGTTACGTGAGCACATGTTGTTACGCGAGCACGTGTTACCCAACACGTGTTACAGTACCTGAATGGGGTTGGTCCAGTACACTGCGAGGAAGAAGTTCTTGGTGAAGGCGAAGGGCAGGAAGAAGCCGCACGTGGCCACCCATGCTGTGATGAGGAATGAAATCACCACTGCTGCATACTGTGTGGGTGCAGAAAAGGGGGGGGGAGGGGGCATGAAGACGGGGTGACTTTACAGTTGACTCACTCGCCACCTCGTTATAATGTCACATGACACCTTTGAGTCGACTGAAAAGAGGAATGACACCATGGTGTGATAGAGGAACGACACCATCACTGCAGCGTAGTGTGTGGGTGCAGACGGAGGGGAATAGGGGAAGAGAAGGAGAGGAGGGGCAGTGACTGTTGAGAATGATGGGAGAAGAAACTGCATGTGGCCACCCATGCTGTGATAAAGATGGGGATGGGGGAACAAGGGGAGAGTTAAGAGTTCTCGCAAGGAACACCCATGCATAGAAGAATGATATCAACACAACTGTGTACCCAGCGTGCATGGAGGGATGGATGGGAGACAGAGGGGATGAGGGGCCTGCAACTTGTGGCGGCAACGGGAGGAAGAAGCCCCATGCTGTTACCCATGCTGTCAACCATGCTGTTACCCATGCTGTGATAGAGAAATGATACCACCACCACCGCTGCATACTGCGCGTGCCAGAAGGGACGGGACAAGGGAATAGTTTAGTGAGCTCTTAAGGCCACCCATGCTGTGACAGAGGAACGACATCACCACTGCAGCGTACTGTGTGGGTGCAGGGAGTGTGAAGAGAGGGGGTGTGTGGGGAGGACGTGTGCACGTGTGGCCACAATGACACCACCACTGCCACGCACTGTGGGTGCAGGGTGGAGGGGGATGAAGGTCAAGAGGGAGGGGTTTGAGTGTGCACGTGTAGAGTGGGATGAGTGAGCCACCCATGCTGTGATCGGAAAATGACACCACCACTGCCGCTTACTGTGGATGCAGCAGGGAGGAAACGACATGGGGGGAGACCAGGGGGGGAGAAGGCGGGGGAGAACGCGAACTGAGCCAAAATCACAATTGCTGCTGGCTGCTGCTGCGGATGCAGAGTGGAGAGAAAGAGGTCACTTGGAGCGTGCAAAGGAACCTGCACATACATACATCTAGGGGTCCGGGCAGTACATTCGGTTGGGGTAGTACCTTGGGTTGGGGCAGCAGGACGGAGAGCAGGAAGCCAAAGTAGGTGACAGCGAGGGCGGCGAGGAACTGCGTGAGGCCGAAGGAGAAGAAGGTGCCCGCGCTGCCCACCGCCAGCCCGGCCAGCGGCGCTGCCACGCTGACCAGCGCGAGAGAGGTGAGGAGAAGGTAGGGGATCTGCCGGGGGGGGAGGGAAGGGGAAGAAGTAGGGGAGCAGAGCGGGATGGAGGGGGAGAAATGGGGAGAGATGGCGGGCTTTAAGGTGCTGCCCACTGCCAGGCCTGCCAAGGGTGCTGCCATGGTTATGAGAGCGAGGGAGGTGAGCAGCAGGTAGGGGATCTGACAGACGGGGGAAAGAGGGGAGGAAGAGGGGGAGAGATGGTGGGGTTTGAGGCGCTGCCCATCGCCAGGCCTGCCAGGGACGCTGCGACAGAGCCAAGAGCGAGGGAGGTGAGCAGCAGGTAGGGGATCTGCAAGCCAAGGGGGGAAGAAAGGGCGAGAAAAGGGGGAGAAAGGAGAGGAGCTCTAAGGCGCTTCCCATTGCCAGGCCTGCCAGGGGCGCTGCCACAGTGACCAGGGAGAGGGAGGCGAGGAGGAGAAGGAGGGGGATCTGACAGGGGAGGGTGATTTTTGAGTCGGCTGAAGCAAATGTCGACTAAAGTATGAGGATGAGGAGGAGGAGGAGGAGGAGGAGGAGGAGGAGGAGGAGGAGGAGGAGGAGGAGGGAGGAGGAGGAGGAGGAGGAGGAGGAGGAGGAGGAGGAGGAGGAGGAGGAGGAGGAGGAGGGAGGAGGAGGAGGAGGAGGAGGAGGAGGAGGAGGAGGAGGAGGAGGAGGAGGAGGAGGAGGAGGGGATTTGACAGGAAGGAAGCGGAGGGAGAAGAGAGAAAGAAAGGGCGAGAAGGGGAAAAATGGAAGCCTGAGCTTCAGCTGAATCATTGAACCAGTAATGGCTCTAGGTGTTCAAGCCACTACTTACGGCCTCAGCAATCTGTTGTATGCGCAGCTTTAGCAAGGCAAGCAGCTGGTTTTAGCGGCTTGGCACATTGGGGGGTGGTGAGGGCAATTCAGGTATCCCCAAATTGGGTGAGCTCGGAGTCAGTAAGTTAGGGTTCAATGCTCGGCTCTCGCCTCTACCAGTGCAAATGTCATGAGATGCTGAAAACGCCTCACCTGTCAATACCATCACACACTCTCACCTCAACCAGAGTATACGCGAGCGTGTAGAGCAGAGCGAAGTTCTGGTTGTACACCCGCTCCTGTGCAAACACCTTCTTGGTCTGATTCACCAGCCCCACCGCCGTGCCTCCATGGCACGTCGTGCCAAACGCCAGCACGGCGAAGGGGAACGCCTGCGCCGTGGTGGCCGCCAGCAGATTGTGCACGGAGTACTGGAAGAAGAGCGAGCCGATGAGGAGGCCCAGGATGGCGGATTGGACGATCCGGTTGAGTGAGTGCGACGTGTTGCGCCAGTAGAAGAGGTGGATCGTGTAATGAACGGCCAGGATCTTGCGAAAAGAGCTGGGGGGAGTGGAAGAGGAGAGAGCTGGGGAGCGTGTGAGCAGGGGCTGGAGGGACGTGGAGTGGTGGAGGGTGGAGGGGTGGTCTGATGAGCCGTCCTCCCCTTGCTGCTGCCATTCAACTGCTGCCGCGTCTGCTGCCGCGGCAGCTACCGCTGCAGCAGAGGCTCCTCTGTGCCTCAGCATTCCTTGGCATCCAACCTCCCTTCCACACACTTCGCCGTCTCCCTCTTTCTCCCCCGAGGCACCGCTGAGAGCAATGATGGCCTCTTCATCCTCGATCTCCCCTGCCACCGCGTCCGCCCCCTCCGCCGCTATGGCCTCCTCCTGCTCCAGGGCTTGCAGGGACCACGCTGACTCAGACGCCACCACTGCCATGCCAGCAGCACCACTCTCGTCAACCATATCACCTCCTCTCCCTGCTCCCACTCCCCCCATCCCCCTCCCACCACCACCAGCACCTCCAGCACCAGCAGCAGCATCACTGCCAGCAACCACTTTCGCAGCCTCCAAGTTAGCAGCAGCAGCCCTGGCAGCAAAAGCAGCAGCAGCGGCAGCGCCCCCTCGGCGGAGGGCGGAGAGGCGGTGCGCGTTGAGCATGGCGAGGTCGCTGACTCGGTACTCCACCGCGTAGTCGCAGGCCGTGGCGCGCTGGTGACGGGCGTCGCCCAGCAGATTCTCAATGAAGATGATTGGGTTCGTGTCTGGGGGCACCGGGGGGGTGCCGGGGATGGCAGAGAAATACTCCTGCAGGGGGGGGGGGAAGGGAGGGCATTGGGCAGGAGGGAATGAAGGGGGAGGACGGGGGCGGTGGGTGCCTGGGGATGGCATAACAGTATTCCTGAAAGGAGGGGAGATGGGGGCATATGAAGGGAAAGGAAGGGATGGGAGGAGATGTGAGAGGGGCTGGGAGGGCGGCAGAGGAGGAAATGAAGGAAATGGGGGGCGAGGGGTGGAGAGAGTGTGAGAGCATGCAGATTAGAGATTACCAAGACCACAGTCGGACTCTCGACAGATCCTGTTCCCATCTCTGGCTGTGTCGCTGCCAAGGCGTTGTTATTGCCCTGGCACTGACCTTACCACAGCACTACCAATAGTCGGCATCACCACAATAGTCAGCTCCCCACGAGCGCGTGGCAGTTCCTCCCCGCGGGGCCAGAGTAGGCCATCCCTGAGGCTTGAGATGATTTAGGCGCCTCAAAAAAGGCTCGCCCCCACCCACTCACCACGAGCGCGTGGCCGTTTCTCCCCGCGGGGCCGAAGTAGACCATCTCGCCGCCGCTGCCCAGCATGAGCAGCGAGTGGAAGGCGTTCAGATGGAACGCGGTAACCGCGTTCGACACCACCACCATCGCCCGCCCCCACACGCCCGCCACATGCTGTTCGAGGGGAAAGCCGAGCAGACAGCACGCATTGGGAGGGCGGATGTGGCGAAGGAAGCGAAGGGAGGGAGAGAGAGAATGGAGAGGATACGACAGCGTGGGAGGGACCGACCTATGCACATGTTCAGACGTCTGTCCAAGCATGTACATCCTTGTCACCCCCTCTTCCCCCCCACCTCGTTTCAGCTCCAAGCTCCTGCCCCTTGTCTCACCTTGAGCATGCCGGAGAACTTGGCGACCTCAGTGGTGTCCATCCTGAGAAACGGCGCGTCAAAGAAGATCACACTCGGATTCCCCGCCATCTCCATCGCAAACACAATGCGCTTCTCCACATACGCCGACCCCACACTATCCGCCAGAATATCCTGCACCAAGCAATCCGCCACGCCCCCTCTGAACTCCATCAGCTCCAGGATCTGAGCCACAAACGCGCGGCGCCGCGTGCCGTCCACTTGCTCAGGCAGTGTGAGCGCGGTGCGGTACAGCAGGCCCTCGCGCAGCGTGAGCAGGGGGTAGTAGAGGTCCGCGCCCTGGATGTACGCTGTGCTGCGCAGGAAGGACGGCGCGTCCCTCGGCTCACCGTTCACCAGCAGGCGCCCGGATAGGTGGCCGGGCACCTTGCGACCTAGGTGGAGGAGAGGCAGCAGAAGAGGGAAGGGAGAGAGTTACAAGAGGCTGGCTCGAGCAACCTCAAGACTAGCCAGGCCCTTGGATATACGCTGTGTTGGGCAGAATAGCGGGCGGGTCCCTGGGCTAGCCGTTCACTAGCAGGCGAATGGACAAGTGGCCTGGGCCAGTGGCCAGTGGCCACCCTGCAGCAGCACAGCACACGGCAGGGGTTTCTGTTTTAAAGGCTCCTCTGGAGAGGCCGCAGCGCAAGCAGTGAATAGTGGCAGGGAAGGGAATGGACACAGGTGGTGGCTGAAGAGTGCACTGTCTCCACGTGATATAAGGTTGGTTTTGAGACGTCTCAAAACCAACATCTCCACATCTCAGCCTTGAGGCACAGACGTGGGCAGCAACGGCGCTGCTGCTTCGGATTTCCATCCATCTCAACAGAGCAGAACAGATAACATTCTACCTGCTCACCTGCCAAGCAGTTGAGCAGCATTGACTTGCAGGTGCCCCTGCCGCGGGCAATAGCTGTGACCTTCCCCTGATTCACCCACTCCGCCACACGGCGCACCAGGCTGCTTCTGAGTTGAGCTGCTTTTGAGTTGAACCAGCAGCAGAGCACTCAATCGACTCGTCTAGACACTCACCTGCGATGCAGTTGAGCAGCGTTGTCTTGCCGGTGCCCCTGCCCCCCGCGATAGCCGTGATCTCCCCCGGCTTCACCCATCCTGTCACGCCGCGCACCAGGCTGCGACTCAGCTCACTCCTCCTCGCCGCACCGCTGCCGCCCCCAGGGCCACTGCTGCTGCCCAGAGAGGTCATCCACGTGCTCTCTGATTGGCTGGGCAGCGGCACCGTGCAGGAGAGGCCCTCAAAGGTGATGAGGTACGGGGTGAAGGGAATGTTGGACTCTATCACCGCTGCCTCTGCTGCTGCTGCTGCAGCTTGTGAAGCTGCCTGCTCCTCTTCTGCTGCAGCATAGCTTGAGAAGCCGCCACCACCCATGCCACCCACAGGCCCCCACTCCAGATCTGTGCCGCTCTCCATCCCTCCTGCTCCTGCCTGTGCTCCTGTCAGCGCTCCTTCGCACGCCTTATCAAAACGGCCATCCCCGCCTTCCGAAGCTTTCTCCTTGCCACCAGCCATCCCCTGCCTGGCAGCCGTCACTGCTGCTGCTCCTGCTGCGGCCACCACTCCCCCTGCGGCGGCTATGGCTCCTCCTGCCACCGACGCCACCTGAGCTGTGGCCCCTGTCACCACCCCTGCTGCCCTCCCTGCTGCTGCCACTGCTGCCGCTCCTGCTGCTCCTGCTGTTCCTGCTGCCCCTGCTGCTGCCCCCCCTACCCTCGCTACAGCAGCAGCCATTCCTGTCCCCTTTGAAACCTTCCCTCCGTTGGCCCCTCCCCTGCCCCCTCCTCTTCCCCTTACTGCTCCTTCCGCCCCTTCGTCCTTCTCTTCACCACCCTCCCTGCCAATCACCCGCCTCACGCCTTGCTTGCTCTCACTCAGCACCCTCACAGGGGGCGCAAAGCCCTTGTAGTGGCTGGGGCGCATACTCAGGAAAGTGCCCACAGTCCACATCCCAATCCACGCGAGAATCACGAACGGCCCGGCAATCATGTACCCCCACTCGTAGTTCCAGCTGTACTCTTCCATGTACGCTCTACCGAGCGGCCATCCCCCCCTCCCCACACAGTACGGCATGGTAGCAGGGACCTGGTCCGGGCAGAACTTCACAGGGGCGTATTGCCGCTGCTCGTTGATCGCTAGCACCGTCGACGCCCACTGCATGGGGTTGATCCAGTATAGCCAGATCCAGAAGCTCGGTATAAGCGCTTTCGCTACGAGGATGTGGCCGAAGAGGAACATGCCGGGGCCCATGAAGAGGGCGGCGGCAAAGGCGGCGGAGCGCAGCGAGCGAGCGGCGAAGGAGATGAATCGGATCATGGCGGCACCGTGGATGGCGACGAGGGCGAGCACAGCGAGGAAGATGAAGAAGTGCGCTCCGTAGTCAGAGAGGTTCAGGCCCGAGAGGAAATACACCAGCACCGACCAGATGGTCGCCTGGAGGAGGGGGAGGGGGAGGGAGAGTGGGATGGGGAGAGGGGCAAGGACTATCCGAATATGAAGGAAGTGCGCGCCGTGGTCGGAGAAGGTGAGGGCTGAACGAGGATCAACCAGATGGACTGAGAGAAAAAGGGGAAGGTGGGGAGAGTGAGAGGGAAGCGGGAGGCTTGGAGGGTTTCTCTACAGATGAAGTGCACGCCTTAGTCTGAGAGGGTGAGGCCCGAGAGGAAAGGGACCAGGATGGACCAGATGGCCGCCTGGAGGTGGGGAAGAAGGGGAAGAGGGAGGAAGGCGACTTAAAAGAGTGAAGAGCTGTGACAGCATGGCGGCATGGCGGCATGCGGGCCCTGTGCTCCTAGGCAACTGACAGAGGTGATGAGCTGCGCGAGCACGTAGGAGCGCGAGCATAGCCCCACGCTCCTCGACGAGGCAGCCCTGCGATGAGCTGTGCGAGCACATAGGAGCGCATAGGAGCGCGTGCAGAAGAAGCGCGCACTGCGGTGCTTGAAGCACCTTTGCTTACTAAGTCAACACACGCACGCACCTCGACTATAGATAGTGGCAAGCCGGCGATGAGCTGTGCGAGCACATATGAGCGCGTGCGGAAGAAGCGTGCGCTGCGGTGCTTGAAGTAGACCTGGCGCTCCAGCATGTAGCCCGGCAGCAGGCTGACGTTGTTGACGGTCATGGTGATCAGCGAGATCTGCATCACGCCGCGCCGCAGATTCAGGTGCGCGAAGGACGGGGGGTCTGCTGGGAGCTGGTAGAAGTCGAAACCCACGAATAGGCCCAAGAGAGTGACCTGGGGAGAGCGGGAGACAGAAGGCAAAAGTAAGCAGAAGTTTGACTGGAGTTGCCTTCACACAGAAGGAACAGTATTACATGAGTGGCTACTCTACTCATTTATCTCACAGCACGTTACGTTACTCTCGTGGATTTAAGATTTCTCTCACCAGCAGCAGGCGCGCAGCAATGACGCTCCGGTTCCTCAAAACTCAGGTTCACCTTCAGCTGCCGCCCCAGCAGCAGCTTGAACCCAGGCCACGGATCCAGAATGAACTCTTCATTCAGCAGCTCCCCATTTGTTCCCCCACAAAGCCCTGCCATGGCTGCTGCGCACCACCCTCACGCCACCCGCCAGCTACTCTCACACCCCTTGTAACCCTTGCAAAACAGGTCACTAGCAGACCGAACCCCACTCACCAGCAGCAGGCGCGCAGCAATGAAGCTGCGATTCCTCATATTCACTCTCAGCTGCCGCTGCAGCAGCAGCTTGAACTCGGGCCACGGCTCCAGAATGAGCTCCTTGCTCAGCAGCTCCCTATTCGCGCCCCCCCACAGCCCCGCCATGGCTGCTGCCCTCGACGCCGCCGCCGCAGCCGACAGGTTCATGGCTTTAAGTGCCCCAATGCCCATGCGTGGGAGCTGCAGGAACGCCTTGCTGCTCTTGCCTCTCAGCGCCCCGAAGCTGAGGTTCTTGAAGGCCGAGGTGATGGCGCGGGGGAAGGCTTTGGGGAGGGATTTAATGCGAAGAGGCTTGCGCCGCTTTCCGCTCGCTGCTGCTGCGCCCTCTCCCTCTCCCTCGCCATCAGGGCCTGACCCAGGGAGACCTGAACTCCCGGGGAAGAGCCCTGCCCCTGCATCACAGGCCACTAGACCTCGCCTTTCATCGTCGTTAGCACGCTCGGCCAGAGCCCCGCTGCCCTCCTCGCCGTTACCATGGGCAGCAGCTTCCACGCTCCCGCCCACACCTGCGGCACTGGTGGTACACGTGCGCGCACCAGCTGTGGGTGCTGGTGCTTCCACATGGACATCCACGTCATCGTCGGCTGGTTGTTGGGGAGGAGCTATCAGCTGCGCGGTTTCCGTGCTGGAGGAGGCCTCTTGGGCGGTGGCGTCTTGGGCGCTGGCGTCTTGGGTTGTGGCGTCTTGTGCGGTTGCTTTCTGTGAGGTGTCATTCTGGAAGCAGAAGAGGGGGGCGAGACGGGATGGGTGTGATGAGGAGGAGCGAACACAGGAAACGGGAGCAGCTGGGCTGGGGACAGGGACACGCCATAGGCGTGACCCCCACCATTCTCTTCCCACACCATTCTCTTCCCCCACCATTCTCTTCCCCCACCAGTCTCTTCCCCCACCAGTCTCTCACCCAACAGAATTCGCAAACCCACCCCCACCCTGGCCCTCGCCGGTTGTGTGACCGTAAGGAGGGGTCGCTGCAGCTTCAAGTGGAACCACGGGGAGCCGTCCCTCAGCTGCTGCAGCATGCCCACAAGCTCCCTTCCCAACACGCCCCTCCCCTCCCAACACGCCCCTCCCCTCCCAACACATCCCTCCCCTGCCCCCCTCTCCCATGCCATACCTAGACCTGTAGACCAACCACATGCAGCATGGTCTATCAGCACAGTCCCCAACACATCCCTTCCCCCCCCCCCTCTGGCATACCTAAACCCAATAACCGCCCCCAACCTAACCCCGGCCCTTACTGCCTGTGTGACTATAGTGAGCGGGCGCTGCAGCTCGAGGTGCAGCCAGGCGCTGCTGTCCCTGAGCTCCTCCAGCATGCCCATGAGCTCGTCCCCCGGCACGTCCCCCCCGCATAGCTCGCATACTCCATCTCACCCCTCTCCCCCACCGTCACAGCCACCACCACGTCCCCCACACACACCGGCCCTGTTGCCTCCACGCCCTCCTTCAGATGCCCTCCCCCCCCGGCCCCCTCAAAGAAGATCCGCGCCTCTGTGACCACCACTGCTTGGTAGGGGGTTGGCGTTGCTTCTCCTTTGCTCTCCGCAGCTCCATTGGCTACTGCTGCTGCAGCGTTTGGGTGATCCTCCCGCTTCGACCTCTCGCCATCCGATGCTGACGTGGCAGCGTCTGAAGCGCTTGGATCTGCAGCTGGCGTTGCATCGGGTGCCACGTCAGCAAGGGCACAGCGGACGCGGGAAAGGACGTGGCATGCCGGCCCCGAAATCCAGAGGAGGAGAAGAGGCGTGGGGTGGCTTATGACACGAAGAATGTTCTTGTAATGAGGGGACTTCTCGTATTCCCGCACTGTTGGAGGGGGGCAGGCGGAAAAAAGCACAGGGTGGGTGGGATGTGAGGAGATGGTGGTATTGTGGTGTGAAGAAAAACGACGGGAAGGGGTGAGAATTTTCGGGCATGAATGTTGACATGCAGCGATTCGCCCTCCACGTATCAAAGCCTTCCAGCAGCGCCCCTCCCACCCACCCCCTAAACCTCCCACTCCCCCAACCCTCCCACTCCCCCAACCCTCCCACTCCCCCAACCCTCCCATCGCACCGAATCCGTCCAGTAGCAGCTTCTTCTTGCCCAATCGGAGGGCCCCCCCGCCCTCCGTGGTGACGTGCTGCAGGTACTCCGGCACCGACATGTGCAGCGGCTTCAGGTAGCTGGGGTAAGAGGTGGAGGGGTGGGGTGGGGATGACGAAGACGGGGATGACTCTAGGCACCTAGAAGGGACGTCGCAATGTGCGTGCGGACGAAGGGCCTAGAAGGGAAGTAGATTTAGTCAGCTGCAGATGCTAGGGGGAGGGATAGCGGGGTGGGAGAAGGAGAAGGGAACTAATATGAGCTGCCTAAAACAGCACCAACACATGTAGTGGCTTCAAGCAGCTAGAGGCGGGTTGGGGGAAGGGCGGAGGTGGGGGGGATGGCGGGAAGGAGAGGGGGAACCGCCCCTTGAAGAGTCTGAAGCCCCTTGAAGAGTCTGAAGCCGCATCTTGCAGGGCAACCTGCACCTTGTAAGCACGGTAAACACGACCCACAAGGGCAATGTACACGATACCCAAACAGAGTAGTCATGGTTCATACACAGTTCAAAACGCAGTAATCATCATTCATGCACACCCGAGGTGTTGAACGTGCCTGAGAGCGTGTAGCAGGCGGGTAGACATGGCAAAAAAAATCGCACCGCATCGCATTTAATCGCGTTTTTGCGATTGCGTTTTTTTCTTCTTTTTTTCGCGAGATGCGATGAACTGTTTATCGCGCGATTTAATGTAAATCGAATTCTGATTGCGCTAAAAAACGTGACTTAAATGCGATATGCAATTAAAGAATTGCGCGCAATGTCGCACTGAAACCCACTCCGAAATCCACTACGAAACCACACTAGTTATTTGCACTCTAGCTTACGACTGCCCGTGATTCAATTTCCCGGCAGCCATGGTTTTTTCTGATTTTTTGGGGTGTTTTTTCATTCTGTTTTAAAAGGCAATGCGATTTAAAATCGCATCGCGCGATTTAATTAAATATCGCATGCAGTTTTAATTTTCATCGCGCGCAAAACGCGATGTGCGATTTTTTTTTCCAGAAATTAAATCGCGCGATGCGATTTTAAATCGCCCCCCAATGCGATGCGATTTAAATCGCAATCGCATTTTGCCCATGTCTACAGGCGGGTGTTGAAAGACAATTTGGCACTCGTTGAGAACAGGAACAGGAGAACACGCAGCACAGTACACACACACACACACGCGTGCGCGCGCGCGCGCATGGGTCTTGAAATTCAGGACTCACCCCAATTGCTGAAAGTGCCTAAGAGACGCATGGCAGGGTCCCTGGAAGACGATTTGGCCCTCGTTGAGCACAATGACCCGGTCAAAGAGGGAGAAGACAGCCTGCGTGGGCCACTGCAGCGAGCACAGCACCGCGTGCTGCCGCACCTGGTGTTTTTGGGAAGACGGAGGAAGGGAGGGTAGAGAAGGTGGTAGCTGGGTATGCAGGGGTGGCAGGAAAGTGGAGTGGGTTGAAAGGGGTGGGTGTGTGGAGGGAGGGATGCTGATAAAGAATAGGAGAAGATGGCTCTCGGCCATTAGAGGCTGCTTTTGAGTCGATTTAAGAGGAGCGAGAAAATGTATGAAAGGGTGAGAGTGTGGCCAAGAGGCTTTGTTCCCTGTAGAGGAACATCCTTTTCCATGAGATGCTTGAATCTACATGGGAGGAGTGCACTCCTGAGAATTCTCAAAGATACTTGAATCTAAATACATGGGAGGAGTGCACATGGGAGGAGTGCACATGGGGTGCGCACATGGTAGGTAAGAGCTTTGCGCATGGAGGGCAGTTACACAATCACACACAGAAACTCAGGCCCAGCATGCTAACACACCCACATATAGACACCCGCACACAGACTCTCACACACGCACACACACTCACACAGACACACACTCTCATGCTGTCTCACACACACACGGAGTCTGAACTGAGCATGGGGGCACAGCACGGTAATAGGCTTATGTGAGCATCCCACAACGGCATGGGTGCATGGATACACAGCGGGCTTGCATCCCACGCAACCGTGGCGCGCAGGCAAACACACGGGCATCCGCACACACCCCCTCACCTGGGCGTGGGTGCGCAGCATGGTGAGAGTCTTGTGGGTGGACGGCCCGTCGTACACCTGGCTGATGCGGTCAAACAGCAGCACCTGGAGGAGGGGGGGGGGAGGAGGAGGAAGGGGTTGTGGGAGCAAATGGGGATGTCTGTGAGCACACGTCTGGAAAGGTAGGGTGCGACCAACGCACCACACCTCCAAGTGGCAAGTAGACATGGTTAACATGCGATGCGATATAATATCGCATCACATTTCTCCATATCGCACTTTATATCGCACGATATAATATCGCATAGCACCCACAGCCATGGTGCCCCCTCCCCCTTCTCACCAGGTAAGCCCCGGCCATGAGTTCAGCCGCAGAGCCCGTGCACCTCATCCCCTCGTGAGCCCCCCCACCCCCACCCTCTCCCAGCCCGTCTCCTCCTCCCCCTCTCCATGCTCGCCCTCACCTCGGTGCCTTGTCCACTGATCCACACAAACCCTCGAGAGCCCCCCCGAACCCACTGTCTCCCCAGCGCGCCGCGTGAGTCCAAACATAGCTTCCCTGGACGCCACCAGGGGGCCCTCACCCCTCTCAATGCTGGCCCTCAGCTCAGCGCCTTGTCCACCGATCAACACACACCTACTAGCCTTCTCCAGCCTGATTGATGCCCGTTTCCCCCCTTCTCACCGGGTAAGCCCCAACCATGAGCTCAGCAGCAGCCACATGGTGCATCCCTTGTCAGACTCCCCCCCCAAACCCTACCCTCGAAACCCGTCCCCTGATCAACACACACCGACTAACCTTCTCTATCCTAACAGATACCCCCACCCCCCCCTTCTCACCGGGTACGCCCCAACCATGAGCTCAGCCGCAGTCAGCCGGTGCACCTCGTCCCGGGAGAGCCCCCCCGACCCCACTCGCTCTCCAGCGCGCCTGGTGAGTCCAAACATGGCTTCCCTGGACGCCACGAGGGGGTCCTCGCCGCGCTCAATGCTGGCCCTCAGCGCCTTGCCCAGCATGGGGTGCTGCAGCAGCTGCTGCACTGACAGCGGGTACGAGCACTGCCGCGCAAACGACAGCGTCTCGTGCACCGACAGCGCCGGCAGGTGGCAGTCCGCCTCGAAGCCGACTCCAGCTAGGCGGTGCGCGCGCGAGGGGGTTACGGGGAGGGCGTTGAAGGTGACGGCGCCGGCAGTGGGGGGCTGCCGGCCGGCTAAAAGGCGGATGAGGGTTGACTTGCCACTGCCTGGGGCAAAGGAAGCAGGGGGCACAGGCAGGGGGCACAAGCAGACAGGGGGCACAAGCAGGCAGAGGGCACAAGCAGGCAGGGGGCACAAGCAGGCAGGGGGAACAAGCAGGCAGGGGGCACAAGCAGGCAGGGGGCACAAGCAGGCAGGGGGCACAAGCAGGCAGGGGGCACAAGCAGGCAGGGGGCACAAGCAGGCAGGGGGCACAAGCAGGCAGGGGGCACAAGCAGGCAGGGGGCACAAGCAGGCAGGGGGCACAAGCAGGCAGGGGGAACAAGCAGGCAGGGGGCACAAGCAGGCAGGGGGCACAAGCAGGCAGGGGGCACAAGCAGGCAGGGGGCACAAGCAGGCAGGGGGCACAAGCAGGCAGGGGGCACAAGCAGGCAGGGGGCACAAGCAGGCAGGGGGCACAAGCAGGCAGGGGGCACAAGCAGGCAGGGGGCACAAGCAGGCAGGGGGAACAAGCAGGCAGGGGGCACAAGCAGGCAGGGGGCACAAGCAGGCAGGGGGCACAAGCAGTCAGGGGGCACAAGCAGGCAGGGGGCACAAGCAGGCAGGGGGCACAAGCAGGCAGGGGGCACAAGCAGGCAGGGGGCACAAGCAGGCAGAGGGCACAAGCAGGCAGGGGGCAGCACAAAGGCATGTGTGAAGGAGAGGGTCTGGCAGTCGGTCCCGCAGCCCACTCTGGCGAGCCGGTGCATGGGAGGGCGTGGTGGGGAGGGGGTGATGGGGAGGGCGTGGTGGGGAGGGGGTGATGGGGAGGGCGTGGTAGGGAGGGCGTGGTTGGGAGGGCGTGGTTGGGAGGGCGTGGTTGGGAGGGCGTGGTTGGGAGGGCGTGGTTGGGAGGGCGTGGTTGGGAGGGCGTGGTTGGGAGGGCGTGGTTGGGAGGGCGTGGTGGGGAGGGCGTGGTTGGGAGGGCGTGGTTGGGAGGGCGTGGTTGGGAGGGCGTGGTTGGGAGGGCGTGGTGGGAGGGCGTGGTTGGGAGGGCGTGGTTGGGAGGGCGTGGTTGGGAGGGCGTGGTTGGGAGGGCGTGGTGGGGAGGGCGTGGTTGGGAGGGCGTGGTTGGGAGGGCGTGGTTGGGAGGGCGTGGTTGGGAGGGCGTGGTTGGGAGGGGCGTGGTTGGGAGGGCGTGGTGGGGAGGGCGTGGTTGGGAGGGCGTGGTTGGGAGGGCGTGGTTGGGAGGGCGTGGTTGGGAGGGCGTGGTGGGGAGGGCGTGGTTGGGAGGGCGTGGTTGGGAGGGCGTGGTTGGGAGGGCGTGGTTGGGAGGGCGTGGTGGGGAGGGCGTGGTTGGGAGGGCGTGGTTGGGAGGGCGTGGTTGGGGAGGGCGTGGTTGGGAGGGCGTGGTGGGAGGGCGTGGTTGGGAGGGCGTGGTTGGGAGGGCGTGGTTGGGAGGGCGTGGTTGGGAGGGCGTGGTTGGGAGGGGTGTGGGAGGGCGTGGTTGGGAGGGCGTGGTTGGGAGGGCGTGGTTGGGAGGGCGTGGTTGGGAGGGCGTGGTTGGGAGGGCGTGGTTGGGAGGGCGTGGTTGGGAGGGCGTGGTTGGGAGGGCGTGGTTGGGAGGGCGTGGTTGGGAGGGCGTGGTTGGGAGGGCGTGGTTGGGAGGGCGTGGTTGGGAGGGCGTGGTTGGGAGGGCGTGGTTGGGAGGGCGTGGTTGGGAGGGCGTGGTTGGGAGGGCGTGGTGGGGAGGGCGTGGTTGGGAGGGCGTGGTTGGGAGGGCGTGGTTGGGAGGGCGTGGTTGGGAGGGCGTGGTTGGGAGGGCGTGGTTGGGAGGGCGTGGTTGGGAGGGCGTGGTTGGGAGGGCGTGGTTGGGAGGGCGTGGTTGGGAGGGCGTGGTTGGGAGGGCGTGGTTGGGGGGGCGTGGTTGGGAGGGCGTGGTTGGGAGGGCGTGGTTGGGAGGGCGTGGTTGGGAGGGCGTGGTTGGGAGGGCGTGGTTGGGAGGGCGTGGTTGGGAGGGCGTGGTTGGGAGGGCGTGGTTGGGAGGGCGGGTGGGGGGGCGTGGTGGGGGGGCGTGGTTGGGAGGGCGTGGTTGGGAGGGCGTGGTTGGGAGGGCGTGGTTGGGAGGGCGTGGTTGGGAGGGCGTGGTTGGGAGGGCGTGGTTGGGAGGGCGTGGTGGGGGGGTGGTTGGGAGGGCGTGGTTGGGAGGGCGTGGTTGGGAGGGCGTGGTTGGGAGGGCGTGGTTGGGAGGGCGTGGTTGGGAGGGCGTGGTGGGAGGGGGGGGGGGGCGTGGTTGGGAGGGCGTGGTTGGGAGGGCGTTGGAGAAATCGGGGATTGGCGGCCAGGTAGAAGGCGGATGAGGGTTGACTGCTACCTGGGAGGTAAGAGTGACAACGAGGGGGTGAGGGAGTGAGAGCAGGTGTGGAAGTGAGAGCAGGTGTGGAAGTGAGACAGGATGATGGGAAGGGTACTGAAATCGACTGAGCTGGGTTGCCAGCCTGGTAGGAGATGGATGAACGTTGATTTGTTGCAGCCTGGCGCCATAAAGAGCTGGCAAGGACAAGAGCGGATGAGAGTGAATGCTACAGCGGTGCATAATTGGCTCTCCATGAGAGGAGAAGGATGGGTGGGCGGGGGGGCAAAGGAGGATACTGGGGGACGGGAAGGGAGATGGGGGGACGAAAAGGGGGAGATTGAGGGGAGGATCAAGGGTTGAGGACCTGCAACGTTCACCTGCCACTGGTGGCCCGGAGGAGGATCTCAACCCTTTATCCCGAAGATGGGTCGACCAGAGGCACCTGAGGATGGGGTCGACCTGGGGTTCACGTGAGGCTATTAGCTAGATAGCATGACAGCCTTACCCGAGGTTCCGAGGAGCAGAGTGAGAGTCCCTGGCATGAGGAAGCTGCAAGGGAGGTGCGAAAATATGACGGAGGGCAGGGAGAGATGTTGGGTTGGAAGAAGGAGAGCGGACGGGGAGAGGCGGGAAATTAAAAGGAGATGAGCGGTGGGGGAGGAGTTGAGGGAATGGGGGAGGAGAGACGTCTATGAAGTCAGAGAAGAGCAGGGGTGTCACATGTGCACACACAGACATGGATGCATGTGCGCACACAGACAAGGATGCATGTGCACAGCACACACAGACACGGATGCATGTGCACACACAGACATGGATGCATGTGCACAGCACACACAGACATGGATGCATGTGTGCAGGCATGTGCAGAGCAGATGTGAGGTTGCGTGCGAGAAACAGTGTAAATCACCGGACACAGGACACATTGACACACTCTCGGGAGCAAGACACAGCCCTGCAGTACAAGACACAGCCCTGCGGCACAAGACACACCCCTGCGGCACAACAAGCCACACCCCTGCGGTGCAAGACGCACCCCGAGACATCATTGAGCACTTGAACGGTCTCCTTCTTCTGCCACCCCGCGATGGACTTGAGCTTGAAATACGGCTGCTCCCACCCGCAAGGACGAGGGGTAAACAAGCAGTCAGAGAGGCAGGCAAACAGGCAGGCAAACAGGCAGGCAAGCAGGCAGGCAAACAGGCAGGCGAACAGGCAAGCAAACAGGAAGGCAAACAGGAAGGCAAACAGGCAGGCAAACAGGCAAGCAGGCAAACAGGCAGGCAAATAGGCAGGCAGACAGGCAGGCAAACAGGCAGGCAAACAGGCAGGCAAACAGGCAGCAGAACGGCAAGTCAGTGAGGGCCTAAAAGAGGGGTTGACCAAAGCAGCGGAGCTAACTTATTCCAAACACCCATGTCTCCCCAACGCATGCCACCATGCAGACATGGACTGCTGAACTCATGGCCTGGCTGCACTCGCTTAAGCCCCACGCATGGCATTCACACCAATCTCACCGCGTCCCACTCTCCCTCGCCCCCTCCCATTCCCTCTCACCACATCCCGTTCTCACCACGTCGCAATCTCACCGCGTTGAGGCAGTTCTTGATTTGATCCGGGATGACCTCCACCTTCTTCGTCACTGCCACGTGGCTGAATGCCACCACCTGGTTGGTTGGGTTGGGCACGTGGATTTATAGACGTATGGGTGTGTGCAGCCATGCCTGCGTGCACGCGCACGCACACACGCACACTCGAACCCTGCAGCCTCGCACGCCCCACTGCTCGTCCCGCTCACCTGCGGCTGCGCGCACAGCAGGTGCGGCTGCATGGCAATGAGGTACCTCTGCAGCCCCTCCCGCACCATCACCTCGCTCCTCATCGACTCCATGGGCCGCAGCCCTGCACCGCCTCCCGCTCCCCCTCTGCCCCTCATCCCTCCACCCGCCCCTGGAAAACCCCCTCCTCCTCCTCCTCCACCTCGTCCCCCTTCCACGCCTCCCTCCTCCTCGTCCTCCTCATCCCACCTCCCCCGCCCGGCGGGCGCCATGCTCTTAATACTAACCAGCCTGGCAGCGGCGGACGCAGCGATCTGCCGTGCCTCGCCCTCCAGCCCGTGGGCCCGCAGGGCGTCGTGGTAGCGCCGAATGAGGTTGATCAGCGGCGCCTCTCCAATGCCGAACAGCTCGCTGTAGAACGACGCTGAGGAGAGCTCGTCCGACTCGTTCGGCTCGTCCGAGTCATTGGAATCGTCCCCAGAGCTGCGGGGATCCTCGTGCCTGGGGGCTGAAGCGGCAGAGACGTCGGAACCAGTGGCGGCCGCGTGCCACGCGTTAGGCCCGAAGGAGACCCTGCTGCGCCCCCCGACGAACGGTGGTGCATTGGTATTCTCACTACCACCACCGTAGTCCCGGCGCTGTGTCGCGTCCTCGTTCCTATCCTCCTCGCCGTCGTCGTCGTCATCGTCGTCGACGCCGACGTGCCACGTGCCAGCAGCGAAGCTCGTTCTCCCGAGCTTCGCCCGTCCGATCCTCCGCCCGCCGCCTGCTCGATCCGCCCCTTCTCTGCTTCCCCCTGACGCAGCCCCGCCGCCGCCCTCCCGCGTGAATGCTTCTTCCCCGCTGGGTTCCCCCCATCCTCTGTTCCCCCCATCCTCTCCGCTTTCCCCAATAGCTACCCCGCGCGGTGGCTCTTTCCCCTCGGCGTCGTCCGCCTCCCATTCTGCGCCTTCGTCGATAGAGCCCACGTGATAGAGCAATTGCGCAGCGGCGGACGCGCTACTAACGAAACGCGGGATCGTACTAACGAATCTGGAGCTTTCGACTGCAGGCCTCTCTCCGCCTGCAGGCCTCTCTCCGCCTGTGCTCGCGGAAGGGCGCAACGAGGAGGCAAGCGCCGCGCGACTCCTTGAGGATTGTTGCTGATGTGGGGACTGCTGACGTGTCGACTGCTGACGCATCGACTGCTGACGCATTGACAAGCGACGACGGAGCGCGGCATACTCGTTGGTCGTGCTTCGACGGGAGTCGTTAAAGGAAGGCGCCACGACGGTGGTTTCGACGCCGTCGTACCAGTCGTCTAGAGTCTCCGGTACTGACGTGGCATCGCCGGGATCCATGATGGAAGGAGCCATGATGACGACTCCGATTATGATCGCACCGTGCGCATTGAAAAGTGGATGTTCACTACGTCAACAGACGCGGAATAAATAAACGCTTACTGCGCACACGCTCCTGTCGCGTCGTGTAGAGTAGTAGCAATGGTGACGACGAGCGAGAACTCCCGGATTATAAAGTACGAGGAACGATTCAGTGAATCGAGACAACTGGAAAGGAGATGCTACGAAGGACAATGGACCAGTGAGGAGAACCAAGCAGGCCTCGACATCCTAGGGGTCACCCTGCAGTTTCCGAGTTTGCCCGGGATCCAACTCGTCCAGGCTGGGTAGCCCTAAAAAGTTTGACTGTTCTTGCAGGCAAGAGTTTTGTCAAGCTCGGATTAAGCCACTCCTGACAAGGACAGGGGGAGATTTTTTAACTCGGGGAGCGAACGTTTACATTAGATTTTACAGGGCGGGTCTATCCCGTACTCGGAAATTGGCCGTGGGATATTCTGGCTTGCCTGTCCATGGACGGGTATCGATATTCTGAATGCGTCAAAAGCAGGGCTAGGTTAAACATTCACCCTGTTTTCCTTGACAAAGCATTGTAATTACCCTGGCTTCCAGGGGCCTGGAACCAAGAGGAACCGGAGTCCCTGGCACGCAGCGAGCAGCTCTAAGAACTCGAGAGCTGTAGCGTGCCACCAAGCCACAAAAAGCTCTGGGCGTGTCCCAAGAGGACGTTTTGGCTTGTCCCAGGGCGTGTCCCAAGAGGACGTTTTGGCGTTTTGACAATTTCGGAACGTATTTCACAATCAACTCCAAGGGTGTACCCACAAGCGTGAACATTCCGAGCGTGTCCACGTATCGCCACGTCACCACTGACGCGCGAAGAATGCCTCGCGGACACAATTCGCCTGGAGCACCAAATCCATTCGACACACAAATTTGACGATGTGACCAGAAGTTACAGAAGTCGCCAAAAAGTTCGCCGTGAGTCAGACCCCCACAAAAAATCCTGTGCACATGTCGCGAAAACAGTTCTGCGAAAATCATTTCAGGGTACCCTGATTTGAAGGACTGGTGCGTACCTCAAGGCACACCCTCGTTTCTGTGACCCAAAGCAAGCTTCACGTTCCGCGATATGGCAGGCACATACCGTCATTCACGGTGACGCGGTGTTTGTGTTCGCGTGAACAAAATCAGGTACGGTTACAATGAGTAATCGGATAACGGTACCTTAAAATGATGCCAAAACGTCCTTTTCGGGCACGCCCCCAAGAGCTGTGGCGTGGCGTACTATACAGTACGGGGGCTCATCACGCGCACTGAACATCGGAACGCAATTTCGCGAGGGAATCGTGCGCTTCAACAAAAATAAGTTTGGTTCAAAACTGTCGACCCTTTTTGCGCGCGATGTATAGAATGCCCCCGTCACCCAAAACGGTCAACTCTCCCCAACTGTACCCGTTTTCAGTTTGATATCAGAGACCACTACGTCTTTTACAGGCTGCTGATATGGGCAGCATGTGAGGGGTCCGGTTCGGAAGCATACGACAAACGATGACGGCGCATTGAGGGCTGCGGCATTCGGGAAGGCACGGGCAATCATTTCGGGCTTGCCGTTATCATTAGTGACGTCGTTTTCTGTTATATAAGGGCTGTACACCTCAGCATTCCGTAATTACAGGTCTGACGAATCTTGTGAAACCAGCAGACCAGCAAGGTGTGGTTTCGCGTTTTCCCGTCCGCCAGGGCACACAATGGACGGAGAGTACAGCTACCCAACTGGGACGATATTGGAGATATCCCAATATTCCGCTGGCACCCAGCGGAATATTGGGATGTACCCTATGACCCAATCAATGAAACTATCTTTGGGTACTCCGAGCAACGACTGCCCCTCGTGCTCGAGGTCATCTGCAAAGGACGACGCCTCCAAGCACTCGTGGACAGCGGAGCGTCACACACCGTCTGCGACAAGGCAATGATCGACCGACTTCAGGAAGAGTACAAGCCTTCAGGATTCTCTGCAACGATGGTGGACGGCAGCAAGTTACCAGTACACGGCGAAGCAGTGCTACATCTACAAATTGGACCACTGCGCTGGAGACCTGCACTCCCCATCACCAACATCAAAGGGCTTGACTTGATCTTCGGGCGAGACTTCCTGAAAAAATTCAACCCCGAGATCAACTGGGTGAACCGCACCGCAAGCATCTACAACAATGGACGGAGAGTACAGCTACCCAACTGGGACGATACTGGAGATATCCCAACGGAGACACTCACACGATTCGAGAAGGACGTGAAGCGGACCGACACCGGGTTCCTGGCGATAGCAACAGAGGTGGAGAATGACGGAGAGAAAGCCTCGGAAACTCCAGAAAAAATCAAGGAATTACTGAAGGAGTTCCAAGACATTCTTCCTGACGATCTTCCGAACGAGCTACCGCCATACCGAACGCATCAACACGAGATCGTGGAGGAACCGGGTTCGAAGCCGACCTTCCGAGCACCATACCGGCTCAGCCCTACGGAGCTGACCGACATGAAAAAACAAATCGAGTATCTCTTAGCCAAAGGACTCATCCGACCATCCACTTCGCCGTACGGTGCCCCAGTACTCTTCACACCGAAACCGGACGGAAGCCTGCGCATGTGCATCGACTACCGAGCTCTTAACAAGCAGACCATCAAGAATAAATATCCGATACCGCGAATCGATGACCTGCTTGACCAGCTTCGGGGAGCTACGGTATTTTCCAAACTGGATCTGCGGTCCGGATACTGGCAGATACGGATGGCGGACAACTCTATCCACAAAACTGCTTTTCGAACTCGGTACGGATCGTACGAGTATTTGGTCATGCCGTTCGGACTCACCAACGCGCCGGCAACGTTCCAAGCCGAAATGAACCACATTCTACTACCACTTCTGGACGAATGCGTGGTGGTGTACCTGGACGACATACTCATCTACTCGCGCGACATGAAACAGCACGTCGAACACCTGCGACGCGTCTTCGAAATTCTTCGACGAGAACGATTCTACGTCAAACTGTCCAAGAGCGAATTCACCCTGGAGAAGGTCCAATTTCTCGGACAAATGGTGAGCGCTCAAGGAGTTCACGTCGACCCCAAGAAAATCGAAGCCGTATGTACGTGGAAGACACCCGAGAACGTGAAGGAGTTGCAGCAGTTCCTAGGCTTCGCTAATTACTACAACAGGTTCGTGCCACAATATGCGAAACTCGCGGCACCACTCACGAGTCTGCTGAAGAAGAACACGCCCTACAAATGGGAGACGAAGCACGAGGAAGCCGTGGAGCAGCTGAAACAAGCACTAACATCCGCACCGGTGCTCATCTTGCCAGATCCTTAACGTGACTACGTCATTGAAGCAGACGCCAGTGATCAGGCCGTGGGTGCAGTCTCGATGCAAGACCAAGGGAATGGATTGCAACCAATTGCCTACCTCAGCAAGAGACTGCACGGGGCAGAACTAAACTACCCGATACACGACAAGGAGGCCTTGGCTATCATCATCGCCTTCAAAGCGTGGAGATGCTATCTCGAAGGACGAAGAACAACCGTCTACACCGACCACTGCAGCCTGAAATACTTGAAGACACAACCCAACCTTTCCAGGCGGCAGGTCCGGTGGATTGACTTCCTCGAGACACACTTCCACTACGACATCGTGTATAAGCCCGGCCACAAGAACAAAGTAGACGCTCTCAGCCGGCCTGCACACGTTGCCGCGATTCAGGTCGAAGGGATGAATCCACTACTCAAGGGACTCTTCAACCACGGGTACGCCATCGACCCCGAAATTCCCTTGGCAGAAAAGCGACATGTGCTACAGTGGGACAGTGACATCGCGTACCGGAAAGGATCACCAAAAATCTGGGTACCCAATTACCCTCCTTTGCGCCAGTTACTACTCGAAGAATACCACGACGTCCTGTACGCCGGACACTTCGGTAGCAACAAGACGCTCACCGGTATCGCCAAACACTACTACTGGCCCCATATGGCAGACGACGTCCAGAAATTTGTCACCTCGTGTGATACATGTCAGCGGATGAAGAGCAGCAAGCAGAAAAAGGCGGGACTACTGCAGCCTCTTCCTGTCCCAGAACAACCATGGCAAGTGGTTAGCCTAGACTTCATCACCGGGTTACCACCTACCTCCAGCGGTCATGACGCCATCCTTGTCGTCATTGACAAGTTCTCCAAAATGGGACACTTCATCCCGACACACACGACGGCACGCACCGAGGAGACGGCACAGCTCTTCGTTCGTCACATCATCTCACAGCATGGCATCCCAACCACACTCATTTCCGACCGAGACCCCAAGTTCACCAGCAAGTTCTGGAAGGAACTTATGTCTCTTCTCGGGACCAAACTCGCCATGTCATCCGCATACCATCCGCAGACAGACGGACAGACCGAGCGCCTCAACCAAATTGTTGAGCAACTCCTCCGAGCAGCCTGCAAGGACGACATCTCCAAATGGGACTTACACCTTCCCGTACTCGAGTTTGCTTACAACAATGCCACACATGCCGCTACTGGACAGACGCCGTTCTTCCTCTGCTACGGACGACACCCACTCACACCACAGAAACCGACAGCATCAGCTATAGTCCAACCAGCACATGATTTCATCACAACCATGCATCAGCTTTGGGATCGGACCCACAAGCGCCTACTCGACATTCAACAGCAACAGAAGCGCCAAGCCGATCGCCATCGCAACGACCACACCATTTTCGTGGGAGACCAGGTTCTCCTTGACACCCGCAACCTGGACATCAGCCATCTCCCATCTAAACTTCGACCTCGCTTCTGCGGACCTTTTCTCGTTGAAGCACAGGTCACTCCTGTTACCTTCCGCTTACGCCTGCCAGCTACCTGGAAGATTCACAACGCCTTCCATGTCCAACTTCTGAAGCCCTATCGGGATCCTAACACGATCTTCGTGGGACGTCAGCCGCCGCCGCCGCCGCCCGTCCTCGTCCAGAACGAACCCGAGTACGAGGTCGAGTCCGTGCTTGCACATCGTCGTCGTCGGAATGGCACCGTGGAGCTTCTCATCCGTTGGAAGGGTTATGATCCTTCTGAGGACAGCTGGGTACCTGAGTCCGACATGGGTAACGCCCGTCGTCCTCTGCATGACTACCTTGTCAAGCAGGGTGTTACTTCTACCACCCAGCTTTGAGGGGGGGAAGTGTGAGAGTACGACCCCGTTACACCACTTGGCCTTTTCCCTATTTCCTTTTCCTTCCATTTCTCTTTTTACCGCATCTCATTTGGTTTCCTATTCTTCCTTTTCCATCCACCTTTGGTTTATCCTGCTATTATAATTATATCACCGACCAGGCTTGGGATGTACTGGTGCGCTATATCTAGCGTAATCCTGCCGTAATCCCTTAAAGCCAATAGCCTCGCGTGGCTATACGCAGGGTGATTCTATCTTCTAGAAGGGTCTATTCCCTTAGGATAAGATAAACCTGGTTACCTGATGTACTTTGGAAGTATAAAAGCGCCTTGTACTGATCGATAGTGCAACCTTTCCTACGGGCTGTTAGCGGCTACTGGCGGGCTGGCCGCCTGTTGGGCGGCAACGGGCGGGCAGTGGGGACAGGCGGGCTGGCGGCGACGAGCAGCCAGCGGTGACAGGCGGCGAGCGGTGGCGGAAAGCTGGCGGCTACAGGCGACGACAGGCGGCCAGCGGGCTACGGGTAGCTGGCGGCTACGAGCGGCAGCGACGGGCGGCGGGCAGCTGGTGGCTAAGTGCGGCCAGCGGGCTGGCGACTACGGGCTGCTGGCGGCTACAGGTGGCCAGCGGCGACAGGCGGCCAGCGGCTACGGGCGGCGGCAGGCGACCAACGGGCTACGGGCAGCTGGTGTTGACAGGCAGCAGCGACGGGCGGCGGGAAGCTGGTGGCTAAGAGCGGCCAGAAGGCTGGCGGCTACGGGCGGCTGGCGGCTACGGGCGGCTGGCGGCTATGGGCGGCCAGCGGGCTGCGATCGATGGGCGGCAGGAACGGGCGGCTAGCGACGCGCGGCTTGGGCTAGGGCTTCGACGAGGGCGGAAGCGCGGGTGGGCGGGATCCTAACCTAGCGTGATACCATCTCAGAGTAAAAAGTTGACTAGAATGATGTGGTACAAGGGAATATAACCAAGGGTGTTGTACTCTACATTATATGAGCATGCACGTATCTAGCCTATAACATATACAAAATATATGTTGACACCCCCGACGGTCGGTTCCGCGCCGTGTCACGTACAATCACATTCCGCCAAAAACAAACTCAGCCGTCCTGACATACACGCTTGATTTTAACAAGATTTATGGTGTACCTCGGGACGTGATGTGGCTCGGAAGGGTGGCGAGGGTATCGGAACGTGACTCGGGGAGGCTTGAGCAGAAAATCGAGGCCGAACCTGCGAGGTCGAGGTCTTCGGGTGTACGCGTTGTAATTTAGCGCAGTAAGGAATTGTAATTCCTTACACACTCCCACCTTCTAAAGAAGCCCTTCATACATTAGGGGCGATAGCGTGATGGATTAATAATCCGATCGTGAATGTGACTCTACGCCTTCAAAATCTTCTGACGAGCGTAATGATTACGCTGTCCTTGACGAGTCTTGGGCGGGCCAAATCTGAGGGCTGAAATTGGGCGAGAAATATTTTGGCCGTTTGGCGATTATCACGAGTCAGCAATGTCGGTGACGAAGTTGTCGGAGTTGATCTGATGGATATCTCCAGATCGAACGGCTATTGACGACTTGAATTTGGCAGGCAAAGACTGTAGGACGTGGCAGAGACTATAGAACGTGGCAGTATCGCACGCTTGTCATCACGGCTACTCAGGTACCTCCAAATTTCAGGTGCCTAACTGCGGCGCCGCTGGTTTTCGAAGAATTTCCCATCTGGTACCGGGCGTTTTTGCAGCGCGCCGACATTCACCCATCATTGCGCTTGCCATGACACCAAACATGTCCTAGCCATTATCGCATGTCGTAGTAGCCCGTGTAAATTAGGGTCAACTCCCTCCGCTTAGCTGCACTCCAAAAATTTCGGATACAGTGTCGAGCTCCAGCTGCAACAATGTCGTCCTCAAATATTTCTTCGCAGCTTCCCCGACTTTTCTGGCAGGTCGTCGTTCACTCAAATTCCTGCTTCTGTCGGTACGTAAACAGCTGTAAAACCGTGATTCGGGGCAGGACGAAGCAAAAGCTAGCGCGCACGCCTTTAGTCGATGGAGCTAAAATTTTAACTCCCAGCAAACCGCTGCGCAGCCGTGCTTGTCCCCTCTGACACCACGAATTACCCAACCCTTTTTTTTCTTGTTCAAGATGGTCAAGGTGGCACGGACGGTACAGAAGCCAGCGTACACGTCATTAATCACCGAAGCGATCGCTGTGCAGCCATGCTAATCCCCTCGAATGAACACCATTTCCAAGCCAGCTCCCCGAATCTTTGCCAGCATGAAGGAAGTTCCAACTTTAACCCTAGTTACGGACCTGGAAGGTGAAATGACCCCATAAATCACCACTACTCTCAGGTGGAGGGCGTTGTGAGTCGGTGGAATGGACGCTCCGTCAGTCGGTGGCCAAACCGCTACTGATGCACGGCTAAATCAGGTGTCCTGAACTTCCCCTCCGCCACAGCCTCTTTTCTTCTAGAATCTGAAAACTTCGCCCTTGCGGTGACCCAGGGAGACGTGCGCGACGGACCTGTCCATACATGTTTTTTGCAGCATCCGTGAGTTGTGCCCCATGTCCCTTTTTATCGCGAAGCCCTAGCCGTCGTTTCTCGAGCTGGTTTCCTCGTCAGGAAACTTTTGCCCGGCATGCAGGTACAGTGTTGGCAGGTTGCAAACCACGCATAAAGCCTGACTGCAATTCAGCTACCAGCTGGGTGACATTTGTTGGTGACGTCCCAGTGCCATCTTGGTGCTGTACGAAAATTGGTCGTTGCAGAAGTTTGTCGTTTCCGGATTTGACGTCGAATCAAGGCCACACCGACCCACTTTCGTTGTCCCCGCGCCGAAGTTACCGGCGCGCGACGACACACCAAGGCCAAGGTTGTCGGTTTTCTCCTGAAATAGAGCACCGGCGAATTCTTTCGCGTCTCTCGCTCCCTGCGCTTTCCCTCGTACACTTCTGACGCATCACACGTGCGCCTGGCGAACTCCAAAATCTTCGCACGGAATTGGGCGAGCCTTTGTTTGTTTGTTTTTGTTTTTCTTTTCTTTTTTTTTCGCAGAACCGCTAACGACCACTTCTGGCGAGCCGCTTGAAGATTTCCCACCACGTGATGACGATTCCAGTTGCCACACAAAATTCAACGAATTAAATGCATAATTCACCAATTCACGTGGCAAATTAATTCCGTGACAGCCACAGCTGTCCGTTCCTTGGGGGAGGGAGGACCCGACCAAATCCTAGCCGTCTTAAGGCAGGGGTCTGGTGATGAAGGGAGCGCACATGCCTTAGTCGGATGAGCTAACAAATTAGATCCGAGCCAACCGCTGTGCAGCCCCGCAACCCACCAGCCATCCCTCCTCCCCCCCCCCAAGAAAAATTTTCGGGCAGGCGGAAGCTACTGCGCAAGGAAAGTGGCTCTGAATACCAAGTGTTATGAGTGGGAATGGAACGATCGACTGAATAATGGGAATACACCCTAGATAATGATTGTATCAGCAAGTGACAAGGGAACTGTCTAAAATATGGCACGATCGTGCTAGGGCGAGAACCTCGGGACGTGATGTGGCTCGGAAGGGTGGCGAGGGTATCGGAACACGACTCGGGGAGGTTTGGGCCGAAAATCGAGGCTGAACCTGTGAGGTCGAGGTCTTCGGGTGTACGCACTGTAATTTAGCGCAATAAGGAATTGTAATTCCTTACGCAGCGGAACAACATAATCTCTAGATGTTAATCATTTCTCATAAATGGGGATAAACCATATGAAATCCAGAAAAATCGAAGCCCTAAGAAATATGTTTACGAAGTTAACATCTCCATGCTCCGACATGGGTATTACCTGTAATTTGTAAGCGATTACATCCATTGTTTGGGTGACCCTTAGTGCTACGATGAGGAAATAACTCGGTGTAACACCATCATGCATGTTATAACCCCTATTGGGTACACGCCTATGTCGAGTTACGAGGGGCAACGGCCAGGCCCTAAGATTGGTTTTGGGTCACGCTGATTCGTCATCCTTGCCCCCTGCATTTAGGCTAGTTTTACACCCTTGCCCCTGGAAAAAGGCTGAAATTTTCAGCCTTACCAATAAAAGATTCGCTGATCAATCAACGTTCCTTATGAGAAAAAGTCTGATGCACATTCTGAATTATCCTTCAGGAATTGGCGCCGACTTTTAACAACAAGGCTTATGATTGCCTAAAGCATTTGAAATACCAGTGATTGCCTGAAGCTCTAGAAATGCCAGTGATTGGTAGGTGTTTGTACGCCAGCGTGACTGGCACAGGGGTCTGGGAGGAACGTGACTGGTCTCGTTTCCTACCAGTTGTGATAGTTTTGGTTTTGACAGGCTGTTGAGGGTTGAGAGATGTTACTGGTTGCAGGGGATATGATACTGTAGGGGTGTGACGGGTTGACGAGGAATTGGACGATTTTTTTTTGGTTTCGGGGGTTACAAGAGGGGTGTGAGTGACTGGTTTTCGAGGACTTCGACTAAATCTTTTGCGTTGCCGAGGGTATGAGGGTTTGTGACTGGTTTTCAAGGGCTTCGACAAAAACTTTTGGGTTGCTAAGGGTATGAAAGGGTGTGACTGGTTAGCGAGGAATTCGACAAAAACTTTTGGGTTGTCGAGGGTATGAGTGGGGTGTGACTAGTTTTCGAGGACTTCGAAAATTTCTTCTGCGGGGAATGAGAAGGGTGTGTGTAACTGGATGCGGCAATTATGGGGGGAAGCGAATCTCGTTGTACTCGGTTTCAGACTTCCCCCCAGAGACTTTGCTGAAACCTCAGCCTTCACCCCACGAAAAATGCTGAAATCATCAGACATCACTATAAAACAAACACAGAATGTGTCAGCCTTACATATCTAGAAAAGTCTTACAGTTCAGCATAGGTACAACAAAAAAGGCTGAAAAAAGGCTGAATCAGCGCAAAAAGGCTGACATATAGGGGCCAGGCAACGGCCGTTGACCATTGACCAGCAACTCAACAGTCAGAAGTCCAAAAGTGACAGTCCGACACGA